TGTAGAATGTACCGTGTATTTTAAATTCTTGGTCATTCCTTTCAGAAAGAGAGGCGAAAAAGTTACGTCACCCTTGTGGCGTTTTATAGCGACTGAATTACGGAGAAGAAAATATAAATCTCCAACATGTTCAACATTCGCCATTAGTGCATGGTGAATGTCAACATTTACCGGTGTAAGTCAGAAATAAGGGTATTTAGCAAATATTTCGGACATACACCAAGCGACTATGCGAATGTTGACATTCACCGGTGAAAGTCGACGTTCTCCAGATTTCGGTGTTTCACTGTAACATTAACCCTAGAAAGATAACCATGTGACAACGTACGTAAAAGATAACCATACGCTTCAGAGGCGCATGCTTTTCTAAGGCGTCAATTTTATACTAACAATGGATATTTATTTAAGTTAATCTAATCATTTTAAAGGTTTGGCATTATTGTAAAAATAAAATGCATTTATATTATATTTTTTTATATTTTAAGTAATTTTAAACTTAAATCACTAGACCTCTATGAAAAATTAACAAAAATCAACAGTCTTCGCAGGCGCCTCTGCGACGTAGGTTATCTTTCTCGGGTTAATATAATAAAGAAGTAAAATTCTATTTCCTTATATTGGTACCTACAGCCACTTCGTCTCTCTGTAAATACCTGCATCTATTCTTGAATTTAGGCCAGCAGCCAACGGAGCCGCTGTCCCTCGCGGCGGCAGCCTGCTGTCCAACCTCGTTCGTTGCCGTCACCGTGGCAGCCCTCGCGTTGTTCCTGGGCCAAGCGAGCCCTTTGGGGTTGGTCCGACAAGCGAGACACCTCATGCTGGGACAACACTGGCAACACCGACCCAACGATCTTTTCCAACGCGTGAAAAATCTCTCGGCCGGCCGTTCGCTGACGCCGTTCGCCGCTACCAACACCCTACAAATCGAAGGGCGGCCGCGCCCCGGCCGTGCTGTTAGTATTATTAAAAAACGCCTACCCGGCCTCCTTGATCGATCGGCTTCGCGATAAAGGAGCCTTCGGAGTAGTTAGGAGAGAATCAAACGCGACAGGCGTCGATGAAAAGGGAACAGTAACTATGTTACACGGTTGATACAAGTATTGATACAGAATGCTTCAAGGACACCGGTGATTCCGTAGCGCATCACATAAACCTGAGTAAGAGCGTTCGGGTATCTCGGAAATCTTTGAAAATATCACGAAATCGATTGGCAGGAGTGTTCTTTTTTTCTATATATGAAGGTGATCGTGTGATGTAAATGATATTTTGTCGATGTGATCGATGTAGAAGAGGCATCGAGGTTAATTTAATTTCTTTTGTTTTTTAATCAAGTTTTAGAAGTTCGTGGATACGAGCTGTTTGAAGCAAACGTGGTGAAGTTTAACCACACACGAAGTTTATCCACGGTAATATAATAATATATCATATAATGTAATAATATAATATAATAATATAATATAATAATATAATATAACCATATATAACACCATATATAACCATATATTATATATAACCATATATATAACCATATGTTATATATAACCATATATAACCATATGTTATATATAACCATATATAACCATATATTATATATAACCATATATAACCATATACATATAATATAACCTACCAGTGATATAATAAACCTATTGTTCATGGAAGAAATTTTAAGACAGAGAAACGCATGCTTTACATTTAAAAACAAGGACATACCGCGCACTTTTGGCATCACTGGTTCAGTTCTACATTTCTCTCTCTCTATATATGTATATATATATATTTTGTAATATGATGTTAAATATTTTCGAATTTGTCGAAATAAATATTTGTTACGACGAATACAACATAAATATGTTAGAATGAAAAAATAAACCGATACAAGTAACTGGAACTAAAACAACTACATTATTGTGTATGTGAATATACTATACATCTAAATCCAGTGATACAATACATGGAAAACAACTATGGCACGATGCACATGATAGCACGTTTTCCGCACCGAATCTGCAACTCGATATACAGATATTGCAGTTTCCTCGACATACTCCACTTTAACTGGAAAACTATAGTTTTCAGCCAGCTTGATATCATCTAAACAATCCGATCATTTGAATACCGTTGTTGTTAGTTTCATGACTAATAAATTCGAGAAGTTTAAATAAACTTATTCTTTTGTCGGTCCGATTAAATTTACGGGATTAGTTGCATCAGATAATACTGTCGATGAAGAAAAACTTAGCAGAAATTCTAATCTATATATATCTATTATATATATATAATATATCTATCTATAATATATCTCTATTATATATATAATAATATATAATATAATATATCTATAATATATATCTATATATATATATATATATTCTAGTGCGTCATATGTCTTATAATTTTTAGGAAATTATAATTTGTACTCCGTAAGCGCATAACGCTGCAAAACGATACGTTGAGTCTAACAACAATATCTTATATCCGGGGTCTCCTTTATATAAACTTCACCAGCAATTTGAACAAAGAGAAGAAGAAACATCGATCTATCGAACAGTAGTATAAATATTCAACAATTCAGATTTTTCAATTCTAATAAAATCGACGGATAATCTTATATTCCCTGAAACTCGTATCTTAATGAGTACATCAACCTTAAATGACTTTGTCATTGTCTCGCAGTGTTTTCGCAGTCGATATTCCGCACTTGACGTGTTAACCCTTAAATGCATGATTTTTTGTTTTGAATTTTAAAAAATCGTTTTCTATAGGAATGTAGTCATAGGTTACGTAAAAAATAAATAAAAACATCTAGGTAATAATATTGAGTATTTATTTTGAAAAAAGGTTGTACGTAGACTTTTGGCAACGATATCCGTTCATTACCAAAATTATCGTAGACGTAAACAAATAGCCATGTATTTATATTATCCATTAGTACAGGAATTTTCGCATTATTTATAAACGAAATGCAGCAAAGCAATTGCGATTTTTGTTGCGACGCAAAGCAACCTTGCATTCGATGCACTCGGTCCGCGAAAATCCTTTGCAACCTGGAAGTTATCACCCACCGCATTCAAATGTCAAAAATCATACAACTTACTCGCCAAAAGTGACGTCAAGTCTTTTATTTCACACATGGTCTATCGTCTATTGTTATCAACGTGTGTTCGGAAACGCGCATACTCAGGTTTTCGAATAAAACTCAGTGGAACTGGAATGTAGACAATTGGCCACAATATGCATTTAAGGGCTAGACTGCGGATTTTATGCATTTAAGTGGTAATATTTAAGGGATATAAAAATACCATTGCATTATTTTCAACGCGATGAAATCATTCGAGATTGAAAGAAATGTCAAAAACCATACAACTTACTCGCCAAAAGTAACGTCAAGTCTTTTATTTCACACACGGTCTACCATCTATCGTCATCAACGTGTGTCCAAAAACGCGCATACTCAAGTATTTCAACAAAATTCAGTGGAACCGGAGCGTAGACAAAATGGCAACAACACGCATTCAAGGGTTAAACCCCGAACCCCGCAAGATCCGATCGGCGGGATCGGTAATTAATCACTGGCGAATCGTCGCGCGACCAATCACGTTTATCTAAATCGATGCCCGTGACGGCGATCGCGATACCGATTGAATCGTATCGATTCGCGCGCGTCGTCGCCGTATAAATCCCAGCCAGCTCTGCGTCCCCACTCTCCGTTCGCGGTGGGAAATTCGCGGAACAAAATGTCGGGAATACGGAGAAATGTCGCGTAGAATTCGTATCGATCGTTGCCGGTCGTCGGAGAGCAACGTGCACAAAATTCCCACGTGTAAGTCGGCCTGTTGCCGGGTCACGAACCTAACCCTTCCCTTCCGAGTGTCTTCAGGGTCCGCTGCTCGCTTCGGATACGACGAGCAAAGGCTTACCTTTCGGGCCGAGACTTCGAAGAATCGCGAACGAGAACGGCCTCGCGGTCGTTCGAAGAGCGGGAACACGCGGTGCCACGCGGTGTGCACGCGGTGACGCGCACACGGCGAACGGAAAACCGGTGGAGGATGATCGTCGGACAACTGAGATCGATTCGAGGTGCTCGTAGACCAGAAGAAATCGTAACTGTTCGGAGGGTGGCGAGCGAGCATCGCGGCTCTGCTCGTGTCGCACGAAGATTGCAGGTGCCGCAGTCCACGGGGGTTGGCCGGACCTCGGTGGACGTAGGGCGGCGAAACGAAGAGGGTGGTCGGCCGAGCAACCACCGGTCACGCAAAGATTTTCTCCTTCGGCCAGCCTGCACACACACACACGTAGGACCACGGCTTTCTTCGGTTGACCGCGAAATCGATACGCCTGAAGTTCTTTACCTTAACACACCGGCGCTTTTTCAAGGCGGCCCCGGTGGTCCTACCGACTCCCTGTACCTTCGTCGTCGCGTTTCCTTCCTTCTGCAGTCGTCGACGAGCAGACGCGGTGAAAATATTTGGAAAAGTATTTGGAAATTTATATTTATACGACTGTTCGATGGATTGTTGTTTCTAGATAATGTAACGAACTTTGAGATATTTATTTAATATGAATAATTATGTTTGTTTTAGTTATTAATTTTATTTATATTATTGTATTAATTACGTTGATGTAGATTTTGATATGAGTAACGTATAGTACGAACGACATAGTGAAGTAGGAGCATGCGCTTAATATGATCAATGAAAAGATTGAAGTATGCAATAGTGAACGGTATGTATGTATGTATACTTAGAAATATCTGTATTATAATATTAGTATTATATATATGTAATATTTATATAATATAATATATAATATCTGTATATATAATAATATATATATAGTATAGTATAGTGTATATACATCTATAAAAACTATAAAACAAATAAATCATTCTAG